ATTCCTGCAGAATGCGGCGGGAAAAGTGCTTCTTTTCCTGCAGAAGACTTTCACTTCCCGCGTGAAAATGTTTCATTTTTCCCCCAGGAACTTGCGGAATCACGCTCGTTTTTTTTCACTGGGTAGTATTATGTTTGTATCTTTTTGGAACGAAACTACCCCACTTTGTTAGAGTCCTGAAAATGTCGACTTTCTGTATACTTCAATGTCAAAACCGTTTACATTTTTTTATATGCGCATATAAAAGTTGTGTTTTGGACTTTTCTCGTTTTCGTTCTATGTTATTACACAAAGTAGAAGAAAAAGAAGTTGTAGTCTGTAATTCTTGTACAGTTAGTTTGTTATGTTTTGAAAATGACCATTATCAAGGTCGAAATATGAACAAAGAAAGATTAAATTCTATTACCGTATAAAATGAAATTTATTACATTATAAAATGTCATTTATCAACGTTTTCATTAATAATATTTTCTATAAATAATATATACTTATTGCTAAACTAAATATAAATATTATTAATAAAGATTTAAATAATTCGGTAATCGATTTATTGCTTGTATTATAATAATGAGTTATTGTTTTTGATTTTCTATATTTACGATAAAGAATTGTAGATAAATATCGAATAGAATATATTTTCCAATATCTATGCTATTTATGTGAATAGATAATATTAATGAATAAATCTTGTAAATAGGCTAATGATGTTACAAGTATGAACAAAATAAATATATATGTTATCCATTTGAAATAATTATTATTTAACAATGAATTAATCATTAAACATTGACTATTAAAATTATTATTTATTATCAAATCACGAATATTGCATAATATTTTATTTTTTTCTTGATTAATCATTTCTAATGATAATGTATTATCATTATTAGATATAGATTTTATAATAATTGACAATCGATGATAATATTCTAATAGTTGATAGTCGGTGATAATACTCCAAATGCTTAATTTATTGATGAATATTAAAACTTTTTTCATCCATTTCACATATACATTTTACCATATTATGAATTACACAAGAGTGATTTGAATCTACAATTTTTCTTGCTAAACTATCATCTATGTATGGTCCATTTGGATGACATTTTAAAATTGTTCGATTTTCTAATGATAATAAATTTATACTCTTTAGTATAAGAATAATGTATTTTGAAAAACAAATTTTCAGATGATGCTTGACAATTATCTATAATAGCATTAAACAAATCTTGATTAAAAAATATTTAAAATATCATTTATTTTCCATTTTATATCATTAGAATTTTTTAAATCGTACAAATTTATACAATTATTTAATATATTCCAATGAACTAAAGAATCAATAATTTTTTCAATAAAATCACTAGGTCCATTATCATTTATTTTTATATTAAAAAATAATAATTCAGATTTATTTAAATTATTATCATTAATAAATAAATTCTTTCCATTTAAACCAATTATTATTTTCACCATCAAATTTACGAAGAATTATTAATAATATAAAACATTTAATAAAATCATATTCTCTTTCTTTTATATATGGAAACCAATTTATTTTAAGTTCATTATAATCTTTCATTAAATTAATTATATTTTTAACTTTTATTTTTTTAATTATAATTATCGTTCAATTTCAACAATGAATTTGTATATTTATTCATAGTTTTTGTACAATAATCAATATCAGTTTCATTTTTAAGAATATAATATACTTGATCTAATGTTTCTCTTGAATATAAATATAAAAGATTTATATTTTCGATAAAATAATGTTTACATATGCCTATTTTTAATAAATGACATACATAATCAATCCATTTATAAGCCATTTTTTTCGAGCCAGTTTGAATGTAAAATGACTGAATCACGTCAATCTGAAGTTCTATGGTCTATAAGCAAAAACTCGGTTTTTTGGAAATAAGCTTCTACCGACCTCGACTTTCATTATAACCCAAAACAAACATTGCCACTATAACCAGCACGATTACTTATGTCTCAACAACACTTTTCCAGACTTCTCCACCGCATCTGGACAGAGATAGGCATGTCCGCGGAAAACCTTTATAACTCCTGAAGTACGAGAGATAGAGAGCTGGGACTAGTCTAGACTTGTAGAATTTGAGTTGGACGATCTTTTCGACGTCTAGGAATTCAAAATCCGAAAATGTTTTCGTGACCGGAAAACTCTTACAAAATGTCCACGCAAGGTACACTACCTGAAAGTACTCGAAAAAGCTTTTCCTCTTATTTTCTTGTTGCCCCAAGATTTTAGTGTCAGATAACGAAAACTGCAGGTTTCCAGCATCTTCCAGTGCAAAGTTATTAGACATACAGTGACTGGCCTTCTTTTTTAAAATAGATAGTAGTAGCCCGTGAAATTCTCTATCAGATGAGGTATTGCTTGAATTTTTTTGAAGGAATTAAATACGGTTCAAAACCGTCCTTTTATGTTCTCTGTTTCTATCTCTATCTCGTGAAGAATGTGGTGGGGAACGATTATCAAAAGGATGTGACGAAAAGACGGTGGTATAGCATATTTGTTTATGCTCTTTCTTTTCTTTTTTTCTTAAACTATACAACGCTTTGTCTTTTTTATCCTATGTTCCTTTTCTTATGTCTTTAAATGTCGTTAAATAAACTTGATTCACAGCAAAAAAAAAGAATTTTCTAAGAAAGGAATTTATTATTGTTGTTCTTATCGTGTAACTCTAAATGTTATCTCACTTATTTTTACCTTTAATATTTCAATGTCATGCACACACACGCACGCGGTTCACCTACTTTTATTGGTCAAAATACTCACGTCAGTTTTATCGAGTTTTAAACAGAACTCAACAATTTCTAACCGAAATTGAGAAGTTGAATGCAGGAATTCGGAGCGGTAAACTCGATCCGAAAAACATTTACTTCGCCACTACAGACATTAAGGCGCTCTATACTAATATCGCCGTTGATGAAGAAGCTGTTAAAATTACGGACTTTGTAAATATTTTTTTGTAAATAAAAACACTGTATTTGTAAATAAAAACAATGCTATTATATATTAGTCACCCGTCAAGGTTTACCCCAATTCCTCAAGCTGGTATAGGGAAACAATGTTTTTCACTTTGCGAGAAAATTTTACTCGCAAAAATTCGGTACAGCAACGGGAACACCAGGTGGGGCGCGTGGTGTTCCCATTGCTGTACCGAGGCAAGACTTGATCTACTTTGTATACTTTTCTTGAGAAATTATTAAATTTTAAAAAAACAAGATATTAGGCTTACTTTCACTTCGTATATTTATGTATAATAGCTAAACGTTTCGGAGTATACGCTACCCCTTCTTCAGTAGCAAATTGAAATTAATTATACAGAAAAATTTATAACTGAAACACAATAGAGATAAACGATTACATTGAAAGTAAAGTACATAGATTAAAATAGAAAATGAAACAAATTTCTTTCTATTGCGTATAATTTACTCTTTCCTGTTTGCGCAGTCCATATCTACTATTATTTGTACGTATTAGGGGTGGCACATTACTATTACTGTTACCAGTGATACAAATATTGTATATATTACTGTTACTGGTAACAGTAATACTGAACAGTATTCCTATTACCAGTAACAGTAATACTAGAAGTATTAGTGTTACCAGTAACAGTAATACTCATAAAATTAGTATTACTTTTCAGTAAAGTAATACAAGAAAAAAAAAGCCACTATCAACACTACTATTAACACGAAACCACCATATTATTTTGTATTGATTGTGACCCCCTATTGAATTTTTTTTTCTTGTATTACTTTACTGGAAAGTAATACTAATTTTATCAATATTACGGTTACTGGTAACATTAATACTGCTAGTATTACTGTTACTGGTAATAGGAATACTGTTCAGTATTACTGTTACTAGTAATAGGAATACATGGAAGATTACTGTTACCAGTAACAGTAATATATACCTTTTAGTATTACTTTTCTCGGTAATACATGAGTAATAGTAATACTGCCACCCCTAGTACGTATAGTCGATATCAGATGTTCTTTGTCATTTTTCTTGTCTTTAAAACGTTTTTATCTTTCGTTCTGTTAGATCGTAACTTTTGAGTTTTCTTTTTCTTTTCCTTTCTTAAGAAAACAATACCGGATCGCATCTATATCCATTTTTGAATGGTAGGATTCCATTTTTGGGAGATATCTCTCGAACAATGGAATCCTACCATTCAAAAATGGATACAGATGCGATCCGGTATTGTTTTCTTAAGAAAGGAAAAGAAAAAGAAAAGACAACGGTTACGATCTAACAGAACGAAAGATAAAAAACTCTCTGTCGAAGGACCTATTGCTTCACCGTCTCCAATATGCAGTTAATTTGCAAATAAATGTGTAAGCTACCAGAGTGATATAAATTAGTATTCATTAGCATGATTAATTCTAAATTATTGTCTTCAAAAAACTTCTTTTAAAGTTTTTTTCATCAAACCATAGCAACAGACCATCGGCTATCAAGCGCTGAATGAATGACTTTTCTACTATTATTTTTGACTGAGCTACAAGTTTTTTAAAATGAGAACTAGGGCTTTAAATTTTAATTAAAATTTAAACTTAATTAATTAATAATTCTGTGAAAAGTTATCAATTCATCGAAAAAACTAAAAGATGCATGTAATCAGGTGTCCTCTTCAAATTGACATAGTTTGAGGGCACATATAGGGGGGTGGACACATCCCCTTAAGCTCAACCAAGACGATTAGCGATCTAAAATACCGACCTCAGATCAATACTGGTTCGTGTGAAAAAACTTAGCAGTTTAATGCTTTTCCGTTTTAGTTTTTCTTAAGGGGGACTCCCCACCTGGTGTTTTCACCAGCTTGTAGAGGACGCTTCAGAGTATATGTCTCAACAAAGCTTTCGGTTCCCGGATTTGTAGTTTTTGATAAAATAAATTTTGAAGTTTTTTTCGGGTTTTCTGCCCTATGTTTAAAATTTCAATAAAAACTTCGTTTTTTTATATGAAGAGTTGATTCTAGTGTAGTTCGATAGAGAACATTAATTTGTATAAGGAGAAAAACGTTTCATCGTTCCCGAATGAAGTTTGACGCAGAAATTTAGCTTTCACCTTTCCGAGGAAATTTTAGAGCTAAAAGTATTTTGAAAAAAGCCTTACAGCTAGTTTCGCTCGAAGCAAGCATTTTGAAGCAAAACTCTGGATACAAAAGTTGTTAAAAATCGAATTTTGGAGTCCCTCACGAGAGCCTTTTTCAAATTTTCTTTTTTTCGTTTTTAAATTAAATTTTACGCTTTTTAAAATTTTAAAATTTCGTAACAACTTAAAACTTCAACTTAAAAACCAAAAAAAGACACTTTTGAAAAAAGCTCTCTTGAGGGACTCCGAAAATCGATTCTGAACAACTTTTGTATCCAGAGTTGTGCTTCAAAATGCTTGCTTCGAGCGAAACTAGCCGTAAGGTGAAGTGAAAAAATCTTCGCTGAGCCAAAAACCAGCGATATGACAAAAAAATTCAAACAATACCTCATCTGATAGAGAATTTGACGAGTTACTAGACAGCCTACCTTTAAGTCTGTTTTATTCCATTGAAAATCTCAACATAGTCTTTGTTTCCAAAATACATAGCAAATTACTGAATTCACTACTGCTAACGCACAAAGAAAACAAGTATATAAAACTGATATCTCTAATGAACTCCTGCACCATATTCAGAAATATCACGTTCAGCTATCAGTGATTTTGAACGAGCTTGTTTTTCCGGTCGATTAATGTCTCTCGTTTTACTACTACAGACTGGGCCTTAGCAAGACGTTTTGAATCTATTACTAATGAACTGTCCAATAATGAATAATTAACATCCAATCCTAATGTATCGAAAAATGGTAACAGACCAACACGATCACGATTGAAAATTATAACTGCCTCAGCTGATGCACCCGTAACACTAATAAAGCCATGAAGTTTTGATTTAGACAAAATAGACCGTATCTAAACACAGAACAGTTAGTAGGAATGCCGAGCTGAACAAACGGTTATAATTATTATGGAATTCAGAGACTCATTTTAATTCCGAGTCATCCCGCGTAAACTTGTACGAAGAAGTTCCGGGTCTATCAGATCCTCCATTATTTTGGACAAAACATCACGAAATACCGGATCTAATCTTTGCTTGACTTTGTCACTACTTTCTGGCTGATTTGTATATTTTGATTTATAAAATGAATACCAGATATCCGGAGTAGTAGAGCAGTATTTATGCTGAATAGGTTTATTTTGATCATTAATATTATGACAAAAGGTTGCCATACACTTTTTCTTTATAACATGATTAATGCAGTCTTCTTTTTGCACTAAAAACTTTCCGATGTTGGCTGATCATTGGTGTTCTCCTCATCTTCATCCCGCTGTTTTATGTACGTATCTTTTACCATTTCATAGGCTGAAACATCACCATCCCAAACAAGGTATTTGTAACGAAAACCATATTCTGCAGATCTCTGAAAAATATGTCTAGCACCTTCAGCTTCCATTCCTAAAAGCGAAGGTTACAGTAAAAACGTGCCAAGAAAGGGACCTCATTCCTATTGTTTCGCTTTTTTATCTGTCTTGTGCATGCTGAAATTAAAGGGCAACATAATAAAGTGTCGAAATGTATTATTGTGCCCGAATTTTACATAAAAGATCTTTTGAAAGGCGCTTGGATATGTTAGAGCTGCTCGTTTCAAACGAATCCGTATATTTGCACAGCTCTCTTCAAAGAAGCTGATGTGTTCGAACAGATATTTGGAATGGAGCTGATATGCGTAAGCAGCCCTTGCTCTAAAGGAACTGATATGTTTGCACCGCTCTTTCAAACGGAGCCGATATGTTTGAGCTCTTCTTTTGAAAGCAGTTGATATATTTAAATAGATGTTTTGCACAGTGCTGATATGTTCGAACACATCATTTCAAAGAAACTGATACGTTTGAACAGCTCTTTTAAAAGAAGGTGATAGGTTTGAAGAGATCCTTTGAAAGGAGCTGATATGTTTGAGATGAAATGCTTGAGCCGCTCATTTGACGTCTACTTAAGCAGACGTTTGAACAGATCTTTTGGAAGGAGCTTTGATATGTTGGAGCTGCTCTTTCGAAACGAATTGATATATTTGCTCAACTCTCTTCAAAGGCGCCGATGTTTTCGAACACACATTTCGAAAGGAGCTGATATGTCTGAACAGACCTTTTCAAGGGTGCTATGTTTTGAATCCAGTCGCGCTATATCCAGTTGTGCTATATGTTTGAAGAGCTCCTTCAAAAGGAAGTGATATGTTTTAGCTGCTCTTTTCAAACGCGCTGTTATATTCGAATACATGTTATAAATGGCGCTGATATCTTTAAACAGATCTTTCGAAAAGAGGTGATATGTTTTAGAAGCCCATTTCCCACGAATTGATACAAGTTTCAACAGCTATTTCGAAAGGAACTGACGTGTTTGAACAGTTCTTTCTAAAGGAGTTGATATGTTGTTACAGGCTTTCAGCCTTCACAGTTACATATATATATATATTTTCCTTTCGTTTTCCTTTTTTCAAGTGATATTCCTTTTTCGTTCGTCCATTTTACTACGCACATGTATGACTATACATATAGGACTATACATATAGGACTATACATATAGGACTATACATATAGGACTATACATATATGACTT